TATATATATATATATATATAATCATATGTTTTCATAGAAGAATAATGTAAAACATCTAGTAAATAGATTCACAAAGTATCAAACTGCCATACCAATTAAGTACTATAATAATAAAACATAATGTACTTGTTTCCTTTAGTAAATTAATTAAAGTTGATAAATCTTATAAGTATTGGCTTAGTATGAATTTAATGATAAAGCTTGTATGACAACTAAATAAACTTACCTGGAGATCATCCTTACAAGTAACCCAGCGTCCTCCCACAGCTAAGGCAGATAATATCTCTCGCTTACTGGGTACTGGATGGGTGTAAAATTCGTTTGCTATCTTTCGATTTTTGTCATCAGAAAACATGGTTACTCCATTGTCAATAATTATGTCTACACCCAATCCACTAGATTCCTCCATACATGCTGAGAGAATAATTCCAGAGTTGCTATTATTATACCGACCAATCCTGGTAGAACGTTTAGTGAGATCTATAATCAGAGCCAACTTGTCTTCCAAACCTTCAAGGTAGAGTTTTTCATCACTGCTACTTGTAGTGGTAAGAACCTGTTATATAAAAGAATAGGAAACTGATAATAATGTTCTTAAAAATATATTTAAGTAAGTAAATAATAAAAAAATATATTTTTAGCATGTTGAGTATAATAAGAGTGAGACAGTCAGATAAAAATTTAACATGAAACTGTGATATTAGTATAACACAGAACAAAAGGATATATGAAACACAATTTAAAATAATATTACGATTTTAACAATTTTTCATTGTCTTTTGGTTCTAATGAAGACTTAGAATTCATCTACACATTACATATAGCGATACAACACAAACTCTAAGGCTATACTAATATTTTACAATTTCCCTTCAGAGTCATGTGTCATGCTTTCCAAAATAAGCCTAGAATTAAAGCTACATGAAAACATGGACAAAAAGATCATTATAAAGTGAAATTTTTTGAAGGGATAAGTAGCATCCTTTCCAGTCTGGTATCTCATGATTTTCTTAAGGGTGCCAAAAAACATTAAGTTTTAAAAGATTTTGTTTGATTTCACCTTCTGAAATTACCTAGAAAGCAAAACTAACAGAAACATTTAGTCAACTATTTTCCAAAAGCTTGTCAAGCAATCACAAAATCCAACTATATCATGTTTTTTATTTTGTTTTGCATGCTACTTTAAGATAAATGTATAAGTAGTTTTCTACTTGTTCACATTTTTTATTTTTTGCACACTACTCAAAGATAATAAATTAATTTTGTTTTCCTGCTTGTTGAAGGAATTACTTTTGTAAAAAGTAATAAAGGATAAATTAACAAGTCTAAATAAAAAACAAATTTTATTTAGTTTTATTTTGTGCAATGTTTCGAGAAGATGCCCTATATTTGGCAATAAATACCAAGTTACAAAGAAATTAGGCTAAGAAAGAATCACTAAAGGATTAAAACATACTGAGGTTCTAATTATACACATTATAGGTGGAACACATTAAAAAAATGCTTGTTTTAAGAAAACTGTTAAGCTTTTTTCATAAACAATATTAAAACTACCAAGAAAATGGAAAACTTGTAGTTTAGATCAACTGAAAATAAATGAATATATGAAGTAATAAAAAAAAATATTATTTCTAAGAAGGGAAAGGCTTTAACCAAAGTAAGGGTGAAAAGTAGGAAGAAAATGGCAAGTAAAACACATCTAAAGAAAATGTTTTATTGATTTTTTTTAATTACTTGAAAGTAAATCTTTCATTAATTTCATAAGGACACCTAGTGTTGAATTGGAAGATGAGGTGATGTTCTAGGGATTCTCACTCTAATTTGTTGAGTGGTGTGTTTATGATGACTAGGAAAACTGAAGTTCCTAGGAACTATAAGGTGAGTGGAACCTTCTTTTACAGATCTGAAATGCTTCCCAAAACTATTACCAAGTCAGTGTGCAGTTTCTCTGATATTTAAATTATAACACTTGTTGCACTGGATACAGTAAATTACAAATTCTGATATGCAGGTGTAATGTCCCCTAACATGGAATATGGACTAGGGCCAGTTATTATAGTGTTGCTTGAAATGTATGGACAGGTACAATACATTTTTCTACTACATTGATGAGGAAATGTTGTCTTGTAGTTTCGAGTTTAACATTTGGATTAGACCTAAAACATATTAAAGGAAGTGTAGAGAAAATGTCAGCAATAGTGGGGTCAGTCTTAAGTATATTAGAATTTTTCAGTACATTATTTACTACTAACTTTTTGATGAGATGGTATGTGATGCAATGCATTATATGATTGTAGGCTTTTTTTGATAATGTTAAGTGAGTAGTTACATTGTTCAAAAAAATCTAACCATTTTAGCAATTTTGCAGAGAAGGCATTTGTCCTCAGAGCATAAGCATCTCAGTCTTGTGAACTGTCCTTTTGATAGTAATTACAGTAGTAATTTGAAACTAAGGAAATCTTACAGGGACTTGGCCCTAGCAGGTACATAATTTCTACAACAAAAAAAGGACTAAAAAAGATGCTTTTACATATAAGATATAGCATGATAAATGATACCTTCAACAGCCAAATAATTTCAGCTCCAACTGTGGTCAATGCCACCATAGAATACTGAGAGAGAATGAAGGTTCCACTGGAGGGTAAATTTCATCAACAGCAGCTATCTCACCAGTAAATGGGACAGGGGGTACCAAATGGTGAAGTAGGTGAACCATGAGGTAGTGGTGAGTTTCTCTAAGCTGGAAAGTATACAGCTGAGACAACCATAGATTATGAAGGACTAGGGTCACACAGAGTCAAAGGATGAGTTTCCAATGACAACTAGTTACTCTGCCACACTGAACCAGGGATCAACTACTTGCAGCAGAGTCAAAGGCTTTGAGCATGCCAACCATGATGTCAAGAATATCTCAGTAAAGTGATAGGCAAAAGCTTGTGAAGGAAAGGTTCTAGCCACAGCCATGGGTCACATGAGTGAGATCACTACCCAATATTCGAGGATGCAGTGAAACAAAAGAGTTGAACCACTTCCTGAAGAATTTCAGGAAAGTAACTGTTTGGAAAGGCTGATCTCCAGAACATACTGCAAAACATGTGATCTCTAATCTAGATGGCCTGATCCTTGACTCCATCGACCATTTGAAAGAGGTGCAACTTTGGGACTGCAAGACAGTTGTTGCCAAGTTGCATCAAAGGTTTGATTTAGTGGCAAATGGAGCAACCTGTTGGCCCAAATTCAAGACTCAGAAGAAAGATAACACAGAGAGTTTGACCATTTATGCAGATGCTGTATGCCATTTACATGGCAAGGATTACTCTATAATGGCTTTGGCAGAGGATATCTTCTTTGACAAGTTTGTGAAAGAGCTAGCCTAGTGAAGTGATAAGGCACCATCTGGGTGTGAGAAATATCCTCCCCTTACTGAGGAAGTTTCTGTAGCAACATAGGTGCAAGAAGGGAAGATACCTACAGATGATTAAACAACTGCCACACAGGCTTCTATGGGGCACTAATGATGTAGCCAATGCAGAAGTACAGTAGATGTTAAAGGAATAAATCATGCAACCTTCAGAGTGCTTGGTAATCTCCAGTAGTGATCATCAGGAAGAAAGAAGGTATGTCCAGGTTCTACTTTGATATTAGATGGGTCAACAAGGTAACTTCCAAAGATACCTTTCACTAGAGCAAATCAATGAATGTATGGTTACACTGAAAGGGGCATGGTGATTAAATATGTTAGGTCTGGCATCCAGATACTGACAAGTAAAACTGGACAACAAAGGCACACTTGTGACTGCTTTAAGTATGAGAGATGATTTATATGAGTTTCAAGTCATATCATTAGTCGTATGTAATGTACCTGTTACTTTGAGAGGTTAATGGAACATACACTGAAAATGCTGCAATAAGAGAAGTGTCTGATCAATGTTGATGATATCTTGGTACTTGGCTGTACTTTTGACTCTAGGGCTGAGAACTTGAAAATGGTAATATTCCAATGGACAAAAAAGGCAGGCTTGAAACTGAAACCAAGAAAATTTGCATTCATGTGCAAGAAAGTAGAATTTGTCAGTCATACTGTACGTAGAAATGTAATCTCCAGAGATCCTGTTAAAATAATAACGGTACAGAATTGGCCTCAACCTGTAACAATGCAAGAAGTCCACAGTTTTCTAGGTTTCATTTCCTACTATCATGTCATTCTCTGTGATTGCCACATCATTATTTGCTCTCACTAAAGTTGATACACATTTCATATGGAGTAAGGAGTGGTAGAAACAATTCCAGTCCCTGTAGCAAGCTGTAGTAGAAGCCCCAGTGTTGGTGTACCCATGGCAAGACTGTAGAATCTTATTGGATACCAATGCCAATGATAGTATAATAATAGTGTTATTGCAGTTGCAGGACAAAGTAGAAAGTGCAATTGTGTATGCTAATCATATGCTTATAGCTCTGGAATATAAATACTGTATGGTGCATAAAAAATTGCTAGCAAATGTTGTCTTGGTAAAAGTTCACTGTTGGAATGGACCATGCATTGCTGAAATAATGAACTTTAAAATATGTAAGGGATGATAGCAAGTGAATAACACTGTTTCAGAAGTATGATTTAATGACAATATCACCCAAGTCTTCAAATGGCAACAGATTTTCTCATCATATGGGAAGACATTTTCTGTTTGCTGAATAGCCAAACCCTGGATACCCTATGCAAGTTGAAACCATTTTTTCCACAGCAATCACAAACCATACAGTAGGAGATTTCATAGCAGATGGATATCTTGGGAGCTCCAGGAAGAGCAACCGAAGGACCCATGTCTAGCATGAGCACTCCTTGTCATGTCTTATGGTAAAGCACAACCAGCTCAGCTTGAAAAATGATGCATGAATGCACACAACCTAATGCATTTGCACAAACAGTTACAAATGTAGGAAAGTGCGTGTTACCATTTCTATCAACCATGAAACACTAGTTCTCAGCCTATGTTATGGCTAGTGATCCCTGGTACTTTTAGATTCAAGATTCTCCAGACTTTGCATAACACAAAGACATGAGAGCACTAAGGTGGTACTCACACTAGTGCTAACAGGTCAGGTCTTCTAGCCATATTCAAATTGAAACATTATCCCTCTCTCCATAGGGATCTTTTTCTGTGCATGTCCCAAAGTTTTAGTAAGTTACATTCAAAATTTAATTAAACTACGTTAATTTCATGATAAACCAATAAATGTAGCATAAAAACAGAGCTAATAATCCATACTGTAATAGTATATAAATATAGATGTATAGTGTTACAAGTTTAAAGCTATTTAGGATAAATAAATATAGTTTCATAGTACAATTTGAAATCAATTTAGAAAAAAAAATGGGTAACTTAGATTTATATCGATTTTAATTTTGGTGTTGTGAGGTCAATCAAATTGAACAATGTTGTATAAAAATAAAATATAAAGTTTTACTGAAGAAAGTTGGAAGTTTGTTTAAGAGGTTTTGGAGATTTCTGAGACAAAGAAAATAATTTTTAATCTTAACTTGGAAATCACTTTGACTAG